AGTACTATTTTTAGGATGTAAATTGATATTAGAATTTGAGAAGAAGAAAAAAAAAGGTTACAAACTAGACGTTTCTAACAGTTTCCATCCAACACGAGAGCAGCCGCAGGTGTGGCCCGTGCAGGCTCGACGGCCACACCTTCCGCGCGGCGACGTTGTAGCGATAAAACCGGCGCCTTTTTTCCGAACAAACAGACGCGGCCACGTCCCCGCCAAGAGCAGCGAGAGCATGGCGGCCACGAGCTCCGCGGCGCTCTTCTCCGTCCTCCCCCTCCCCACAGCCTCCCCGGCCTACGCCAGGGCAGGCAGCAGCCATTACAGGCCCACGCGCTCCACCGCGGCCTTGTCCCCCATCAGATGCTCTGCCGCCTCGCCCGACCTTTCGCCCGGCGCACCGGCGCCGGCGCCGCCCAAGCCCCAAATCGAGCTCGAGTTCCTCGGGGTAAGGACTCAACCTCGATGGTCTCCGCTGGCTCCGGACTCCGGGCGGCGAGGTTTAATTGATTTTCTGTGATGTGCGTGCAGCCGAAGCCGGGCGCCGACGGGTCGTACCCGGTGGACAGGGCGGCGGCGGTCAGCGGCGACAAGCTCCTCCGGGACGTCATGGTCGAGAACAAGATCGAGCTCTACGCGGCATACGTGAGCCACCCTCCCTCACTAACCTCCTCACCTACTCTGGCTTAATTCCCCTTCTGATTTCTCCTCTGCCGCTGTGGAGTGTGGACTAATGGTTCCTGGTGCGTGCGCTGCAGGGGAAGCTGATGAACTGCGGCGGCGGCGGCAGCTGCGGCACCTGCATCGTCGAGGTACACCACTCCCTCTCCTTCCCGACTAGTAACTCACTGCATCATGTGCAACACCGCAACTGAAAATGGCACCGCACGCTATCTCGCTGTGCACAATGGCTGCTCTGAACTGTAACTGTGACTGATTCCTCCAGAGTGTGAACCTTTGTGCGCAGATTATCGACGGGAAGGAGCTCCTGAGCCCAAGGACAGACGCCGAGAATCGTTACCTGAAGAAGGTTTCATTCTGATTCTCCTCCGATTCTGAAAGTTTCTGCTGCTGTCTCCACTGTGGTTCACATTACAGAGGAGCTGCGACTTAACTGTGCACTCTGCACCTCGTTGCCTTTGCCAGAAACCGGAGTCATGGAGGCTTACCTGCCAGACGATCGTCGGGAACAAGGAGAACTCCGGCAAGGCATGATTTCATTAGCCTCATGCACTGTCTCCGGCTTTGTTGTCACGAGCGCCATTTCTTTCTGAAAAAAACAAGCCGTGTTTCTTCTTGCAGGTCGTCGTCCAACGGCTGCCCCAGTGGAAGAAATGACTGAGCAATCTTGCCTGCACATTGGATGTACTGAGAGCAAGTGATGTGATCCAATGCCATGTACCTCCTGCTACGAAGATGTCTATCCTGGCAACAAGTTACTGACAATTTGAATGTGCGCTTCTTCACTCGGAAGATGAACAGAACAAGAACGCATCCGGAAAAAAGAAACGCATCTGCTACTGCTGCTGGCATCAGTTACAAACCTGTTCTGGGCATATCCCTAGTACCCTGTATCTGTATGATAGGGCCTAGTAGCACAAATTGTGTGTACCTCAAACCATATCTTGGGTTTCTTCCTGGAATCAATGGCAAATTGCAAATTGTGTTGAACCAGTAACAGTTTCCACGTTAGTAGTCTGCGTTTTGCAACGGATGCTCTTTGAACAAAACTAATGTTAATGATCTGAACAACAGGATCCGTCGTAGTCTAGGTGGTTAGGATACTCGTCTCTCACCCGAGAGACCCGGGTTCAAGTCCCAGCGACAGAAAACTTTTTGCCATCATTTTTGTGCAGGTATCCCGGAATTTTTTGCTCATACAGTGTTTTCTTTGCAGGCATCCTTGAATTTTTGCCATCATACAGCCTTTTTCTTTGCTGGTATCCTTTATTTATAATACTGAAGCCTAACTTTATTTTCCCATACGACCCGCACTGTCTACAGACAATGAGCATCATCCAGTGCAAAAAAAGAACAAACATGCCATGATAGAAACTACAAGTGCCGCCTATTGCTTGCACACTGAAGTTACAAGGCTCTGAATATTACAAGCAGGGGGAGCGAAAGCAACAGCTATGCCACGGTACAACTCGAAAAACCACAGCACCAGTGTAAGATCATCCCCCAAAAGCAGCATCTATGCCACGGCATCAGGCCTAAATCATATAAGTACTATACAGCAACAACCACTAGAAACTTCAGAACCTTGCACCACTATCTTCATTCGCCTGAGCACGAATATCTTCGATTGTCCTTAGTATGCCATCGGAAGGACGAGTAGTAGCACCATGAACATTCACAGCCACCTCCTGAAGATTCTTCCAGTCATCAATGCATCCATGTCATCTCTAGAATGGAGCCCTGCCCAGTATTTGACAAATGCACAAGCATAGAAGATCAGTTCAACCGGCAACCGAATGAGTTTCCTTCAAGGCATGACCTGTTTGCAAAGCCTCCAAATCGCCCAATATGTTGCAACGAGACCGGTAATTTGAAAACTTCTACGTGCCGGGATGAATTGGGAGATCCACCAGAAATATTGCGAGAAGCATTCGGGTCTTGTCCTGGCTCCAATGGCCAGACCCACTATGGTCCACACAATCGAAACCATCAGGTCCAGGCGCTTTCTCTGCAGCAATGTCTTTATTGGCAGCATGGAGTTCTTGTATGTCAAAAGGCTAATCGAGGTGGCTCAAATTAGTAGCATGAGTTCAGAGCCATGCTAGGGGTTGTGAGGTTCATTATTCAGAGCCATGCTAGCCATCTTTTTTATGAAAGCACACATGGCATTTTGCAGGCCTGCATCCAACCACTTCTTAAACTGAGTTGCCATCTCCTTCTTGCAATATCTTCCACTGACCTGCCCACGTCATTGCAAATAGCATGCAAACCAGGGAACTGATCTTTCAAGGGTGTAGTACCACACCAGGAGTCAGACAAATCAATAATCACCCCATTACCCACAGTCACCAGCCGCCCCTGAAGATGGATGGGCCTCAAATGAAAAAGATCGTACCAGCAAGCAGAATCATGCACCTTGTGTTAAATCTCGAAGATACAAACCATTAGATATTTAGCCCTAATAAAATGCTGCCAAGGGCCGTCCTCAGCTTCCAGCCTCCACTACCGCTTGCACATTAAGCTGATATTCAATTTGGGAAGATTTTTTGACACCCCAGCCCCTTTCTCCTCAGGTCTACAGATCAGGGGCCACTTCACCAAATAATATCTCCTTCTGTAGCACCTCCTTGCCACACAAAGCACCTTCTGATCTTGCCAAATTTTCTGACGGTCGTTTTGCAGATAATATATACGGACATGTGATAAAATTGGAGAATTGGTCAAACAAACTTCTAATCAGATACCTTCAATCTACTAGAACTAACACACCCCCAAGTAATTTAGAGGCAAGTAGCCCATTTGACAACTAAACAAAGTGGCATATTGGTCCAACTTATCAGCATCCTCCAACACCATCAACACCTCAATTTTCTGAAAATTATTTTTTGAGACATTTCCATTTCTCCCCCTAATTTCTGCCCAGCCTCATCTTTACCCCTAAAAAAAACTGTGCTCAACTTTGCCCTCTCCCGTCTGGTGCCCTTACGGAAATACCCCTTCGTGCCGTTTCCGTCTGGTCAAAAGGGTTTGACCGTCAGATGGACGTTTTGTGGACAACTATGTCAACAAAACGTCCATCTGATGGTGAAAGATGCGCTATTTTTTCCTTGGGTCGTTCCATGGCTTCTTGGGGAGAATTTTTGACTTGCCCCTGTTTGGGGTCAGTCGGTTTTTCTATTGGGCTTGAAGCCCGTTACACATTTTGTATTTTTATGAATGTTTTTGGCTTTTGTTTATTCCATTTCTTGTTTAGTTTTTTCGGTATTTTTGGGATGTTTTACTGAGTATAAATCATATACAAGCACTACATAATATGTGTGCAAATTATACGATAGTGGGAAAGTTGCACTATTATATGCTTATTCTTTGCATATTACAAAAGGTGCAATTTCAGTGCAAAGTCTTGTGCAAGTTTTATTAGTATATTTTTTCAGTTTCATTCTTCTTGAAGGGTAATAACAATGCCACTAGTTCATTCTTTCTTAGAAAAATCATTGTTTTGATTTTGTTCTAGTTTTTATTTCTTTTTTATGTGTACGTAATACTGATGCCACTCATTCATTCATTTAAGAAAAAATATTTTTTGTGAAATTCTACTATTATATGCTTATTCTGGCATATTTTAAAATTCGCAATTTCTATGTGAATTGTGCGCAAATTACGTCACTATTTGTTTTTTCATTTTCTTTCTTCTTATAGAGTAATACCAAGGCTACATATTCGTTCTTGCTTAGGAAACTTTATTATATTGTTTTTTTACATTTCATTTAATTTCCTTTCTTTTCTTAGGGTAATACCAATGCCACTAATTCATTCCTTCTTAGCAATTTTTTTAGAAAAGAAATCACTGCTTATTCTTTCATATTATAAAAGGTGCAATTTCTATGCAAATTGTGTGGTTACTTGTTTTAATATATTTTATATTCCTTCTTCTTAAAGCATAATATCAATGTCACTACTTCAGTATTTTTCAGCAAACTTTATTATTTTTATTTTGTTCCAATTTTATTTAATTTTATTTCTTCTTTCAGGGTAATAACAATGGCACTAATTCATTCCTTCTTAATAAATTTTTTTTATGAAACTTGCACTGATATATGTATATTTCTGCATATTACAAAAGCACATTTATTTTCAAATTGTGTGCAAATTTTGTCATCACTTGTTTTATTTTTTTGTTTTCTGTTTTTTCTCAAATGGTAATACCAATTACACCAATTCATTCTTCCTTACAAAATTTAATTATTTTATTTTGGTTTATTTTTATTTCATTTTTTCTTCTTTAAGGGTAATACCGATGCCACTAATTCATTCTTCTGTGAATACTTCTTTTTGCAAAAAAAAAGATCACATTCTTGCATGGTAAAAAATGCAATTCTTGTGTAAATTGTGTAAAAAATTTGTTGTTATTTATTTCAATGTTATTTATTCTCAAATTCATGTTTCCTTAAAAAAACATGTCACTAATCGATGTTCCTTAAAAAACATTATTTTTTGATTTTGATTTTTATATTTCATTATCTTCACTATTATATATGAATGCCACTAATTCATTCCTTCTTAGAAAACTTATTTTTTAGAAAACTTATTTAAGGGTAATACGAATGCCACTAATTCATTCCTTCTTAGAAAACTTATTTTTTAGATTTCACTATTATATGCTTATTCTTGCATATTGTAAAAATATATATATGTAAGTTGTGTGCAAATTTTATCATTATTTGTTTTTTTCATTTCCTTCTTATAGGATAATACCAATGCCATGAATTCATTTTTCCGTAAAAAAAACTTATTTTGGGATTTATTTCTTTATTTTGTTCATTTATTCTTTAAAGTGGCGCCACCACAATTATTAGATTAGGATAACTATGCAAACAATGCAGCGCATATCCATCTAATGTCAAAAGCCAACATAAACTATATATGCAAAAACACATACGGTATGTATAAACCTCCGACAATTGTGAATAATATAAAACATCGTGTCGTATTTCATCCATGGAAGCTCAGCCATGAATTGACATGCACATGGGACCGATCCATGCATGACATACCTGTCAACTGCGTTCTGCGTACATGAGATGTAATGTAACAAGGTCAGTCCTTTCATCCTCCAAGTCAATCAATGGTGCATCAAGAAAGATCAACCAGCATGTATGTATTCAACTATGCAAAGCATCTAGGTGTTCTGCTGGGAGTGGGAGGTGGCACGCTGCCATGCAGGCGGCCTTGGGCATTGGCCCATGTTTGTTGTTCATCAGACAGCGCAAATCTTCGAAATCACTAATTAAGAAGTACTCGTTGCAAAGAACACTCCACTTTCCCAGGTCGCGACAAGTGGCGCACATGCTGCGCGCCACTTGTCGCAACCCGGGAGTTTTCCCTTTTTTCATAGATCCGTTAATTTAAAATGTTTTATCTCTTAAACCGTGCGTCCAAATCTCGAACCGTTTTCACCATTGGACTCCTCGCGTCAAGATCTTGAAAACTAGATCCCATGTTAATAGGTTTTGACGAACTTTTTTTTCATGAAAAAAACCGGAAGAAAAAATCAGGCGAAAAAACCGAACCGGGAGCACGATTTTTCCCCTTTCCGAAAGAGGCACGCCCGTGCCTCTCGCGAAATCACAACCGTGCCTCTCGTCAAAGCAAAATCGTGACTCTCGTGGAAGAAAAAAAACAAAAAACATGTTTTTTTCGTTTCCGAGAGGCACGACCGTGACTCTCGCGAAGGCACAACCGTGCCTCTCGCAAAAGCAAAACCGTGACTCTCGCGAAAGAAAAAAAAATAGAAAACGCATATTTTTTTCCCTTTCCTAGAGGCACGGACGTGACTCTCGCGAAAGCACAACCGTGCCTCTCACGGAAGCAAAACATTGACTCT